CTCTTGAAGTCCCTTCATTAGACAAGATGTAGAAGCAGAAGACACTGATAGCGATGAATCTCTGACTGTGGGTAGGCCTATGTTAATATATGTTTATGTCTTAATTTTTTAACAAAAGTATTTAAAAATTAAAAACATAATAAAAATTTTGGTAATACTAGAGACTGATTCTAGACTTGAGTCATATTTCCAACCCCTTTTAAAACTATTTTTTAAATTTAGAGACAGGGTCTAGGTCACTGAGCTATCATACCTTAAAACTTCAATAGTAACAAGCTTCTCCTATTGGAAAGACACAGCCTCTAAATCTGGAGCTGTTTTGAGGATAGTAAATGCATTTGTTTTCATATCAATTTAATTTGCCCACAAATTATTTATTTTTGAAAAATTTATTTTTTTCAATTCTTTTTACATATCAGTATTCAATCTGGAGATAATTTTCTTCTGCTTATATAAACAATCCAGTATCTTCTCTCTCAACTTCAAGCCAGCCTCATAGTTATTTTTAGGAATGTCTTTTTCTGAAAATGACTTACCTTTATTTTTAAGAGTTATGTCTTTGACTTCTGGGTTTTGACTGAGAAAGCTTTTAAGTGGTATTCAAAGATAATTCTTTAATCACTTTTAAAATGTTTTCACTTTTATTATGATATTCTTAAAGTATAGATTTTTCTTTTGTAGGATTAACAAGCCTGATCTATTTGCATATTGCTTTCCTCTTTTTCTAGGGTTCAACTTATGATATACTTTCCTGTATTTTTTATTTTTTTGGTGGTGCTGGGGGCTTTGTGTATGTAAACACAACTCTTCTATCAAGCCACACATGAAACTATCTCATTGACAAACTGATTTTTCTTTGAATAGCTATCCAGGTATATGATGGCTGGACCATATGGCAATTCTGTTAATTTTCTGAGGAACCTATTTTCTACAATGGCTATACTAATTTACATTCTCATCAAAAGTGTGCAAATGTTCTCTCCACATCCTTGCCAGTACTTTCATTTTGTCATTCTTGCTGTAGTAAAACGTCAATGATTTTGATTTGCATTTCTGATTAGTGATATCAAACATTTTTCACCTATGTTATTTGTAAACTACCCCCTTTCTTTGTGAAATACCTACTTCAGGTCTATTAAGCATTTAACGTTTTTTTCTATTTTTCACTTTTCCATATAGTCTGGATAATTCCTTGTCAAATACACCCTTTGCAAATACTTCTTTCCGTTCTGGTTTGTGATTTCACTGTATATTGAGATTTTAGTATCAGTACATTATTGCCTTTATTTAGTACTTTTCTGTATTTTCCAGTTACTGTACCTCCTACACTTTTTTCTCCTTGTATTCTATGCTTATTTCAAATTTCAATCTGTAGTTTAATTCTAGTTATTTTGTGTTCACATATGCCTTTGTAGTAATTTACAAAACTGTTGTACATGGACTTCGACTCCCAATTCCTGTCTACCCACAGCATACAATTAGAAGTACCCATCCTTTTGAATGACTCCTACAGAACTCTTAACAAAAACAAACAAAAATCCAAGAAGAAAATATTTCAAAAACTAGCTCATCAATTTGGGTCTCCCCCCCCCCAACGGTAATTATGTACTATCTTGATAGCTTTCTGAAAGCCTTCAAATTGATTTTTCCTTTTTAGTTGGCACAAGAGATTGAACCATGAGCCTTACACATGCTCTGGCAACTACTCTACTACTAAGACTGTAACTTGCCCAGGCTGGTTTTCAACTTCCAAATCTATTTCTCAAACAGCTGAGATTATATGCATGCACCTCCTTGTCCTGTTTGGGAGGGAGGAGGGTGAATGGGACTGAGCCCAGAATCTTTTATCTGAGCTACATTCTCAACCCATTTTTTAAGAGTTTTACTAATTTGCTCATGCCGACCTGAACTTGCTATCAATTTGGTGGCCTCAGCCTCCACATTAGCTGAGATTGTGTCAACACACATAGCCCCAAGACAATTTTTATGTTTGTCCATTTTTAAAAGATGTTTTCACAGAGTTCTTGGGTCAGACCATCTAATAGATGGAAATACTTTTCTGCCACTTTATTTTATAACTACGTGAGAATCTAGTTTTCTGGAGAAAGATAGTATTTGAAAAGGGCTTAGATGTCTGCTTAAAAAATACTTGTATTAAAAAATTAGCTTTAAAAAATCTGCTGTGTTCACATGAAATGCTTGCAGTGTCACAGACAAATCTTGGTACAAATGAAGCAGAAGACATGCAAGCATGTATGTAAGCAGGCAGTAAGTCTGACTCATGATTAATAGCCTTTTCACATTCAGTTTCTTCAGCATGAAGTTCTAACGTACAAGTTGACTTCTGGCGAAGACTTTCCCACAGTGACCGAGTTTTCTGTGATCAGACACATTCAAGACATATTCACATGTCTCACCAATACGAGAATTAAGGTTGAGATATATAATCCTTTGGTAATCTGCCCCCACTCCATATTTAATACAAATAAGAGATTTCTCTGATTGCATATACTGAACTGTGGCTTTAGAATGTTACATTTATGTTTTTCTCTATTATGCATTCTATGTACAATAAAATTTTTTAAGTAAAAGCCTAGTCAACAATTAGTATGTACCTTTCCCTCCTATATAATTTCTCTGAGTACTTTCTGGTGATTGAGATCTATACACTGGAGAGAACCATGTATTAAATTACTGTAACATTCGACCCATTATAGATATTTTTTGATGTTTTTAGGGTTAAGTATCTACTCCATAATTTATTGAAATATTTACTCTATAGTCAGTTATGTATAATGAGATGGAATTTAAGTCATGCTTTAAAATAGAAATAAGGCTGTGAAAACAATTATTAATGTACGCAATTTGCTGCTTTTATGGATCGTTTTAGTTATTTAGTAAGATACTATTCCATACACCTCTCATTTACTTCTTCCAACTAAAAAGATGATTTCCTTTAGAAAAAAGAGAAATAGTGGATTTTACTACTGTACAAATTTTAACTTCAATATTATTTTGAATTATCATACATTATTCCAGATTAAAATTGATGTGGATAAAGCTCAGTGCAAGAGACCTACAAAGGTTCAATCCTCAGCACTGAAAAAAATATTACTAGTAAGTTTTTCTCATTTTAAGCACTCTAATCCCTAAACATTCACCTCTGACAACAATGAAAAACCTAGAAATGAAATTTCCAGGAGGAGGGGGAACTTGAGGGGCTATCCCAAGATGATGTTCTCTCAGATGAGTGTTTTTAAACCCTTTCTATACTTAAAAAAAAAAAATCTTGTGTCCTACAGATAAGAGCAGCAGAGTGCACAAGGTTTCTGATTCTACTTATTATTTTAGGGAATTAAATATTGTAAATCTCTTTTACTTTTGGGGAATTAAAACACTAATTTACATATTATTTCAGAGGATTAAATACTACAATTCTGCTTCTTTGAACACCTCAAGAGAAATTTATTTGGATAAAATGAAATGCAAAGAATCTGGAGATAAAGGAAATTAAGATCTACATGTAAAGCTGGTAAAATATACTAAATTTGGACAAAACATCCACAGTTCAAAGACACAAAAAAATGATCTGGTGAAGAAATACAGTCATGTAATTAAAAGTATTCTGGGTGAATTAGTAAAGCAATAAATAAAAGGTAAATTTTTTTTTTTTGTCTTTTTCATTTTTACCGGTACCAGCAATTGAACTCACGACTGCCTGCTTGCAAGGCAGGCGCTTATGCCGCTAAGCTAAATCCCCAGCCCCAGAAGGTCAATTGTTAAACCCATATCACTCACACTAAAATAATACAGAAGTTAATTTGAAAAAAAATGGGTTAAAACACTAGAAATTTTCAACTAAATATTAGGCAACCTACTAGAAGGATCATTATTAAATTGTCACAATAACTTTTACCCTTTGAAAAAAAATTGAATAGAAAGTCTGCACTGTGGGAATTAATAAGTATTAAACTGTTCCTCAACTACAAATTCTTTGACAACTACTTAACACAGTACATGTTGCAGTTCTTAACACTCCTAACTACTGGTAAATATAAACCAGAATTGCTAGCACTGTTAATTTCAAGGATTATAATTTTATGTTTACTAACATTGACTACTTTTCAAAATCATTTCTACTGCAGACTTAATGTTACACAATTTAGTTAGTAAACGATGAAGTTCTATAGCTTTCCCAAATATAGGATGATCATGAGGTTCAACTAAGTAATGAAGATTCCCAAAGTTTTTTAACCAGTAGATTTCAACTTTATAAACACTATGCCACTTGGATTGTATCAAATGGCTAGACGTTGGAATGATACGGTATTAATGCTTAGTCTTTTCAAGTACACATGGATGCTACCATAAGAAAACGATCTTCAAGAGTAGTCCCTTTCCTTATTAAATCTTAGAAAATTTTATTTTCAGATATTTGATAACCTGAAAAGGTTAAGAATTTCAAGAATTTAAATACAATAAAAAATCGAACAAATAAAAAGTATTGTGTCTCATACATATTGAAATAAAACAGAAATCAACCAGCCTAAGAACTACTTAAACAATTGAATTTAAGATGAATATTTAAGTTAAACAAACTTCATTAGATCCAAAGAACCTGAAAGGATACACCCAGAAAGTCTGGTTTAGTATTTCTAAACCATGAAAACAAAAATATATTCTTTGAGGCGAATAGCTCTGCTATAACTAGAATAGGCTTCAAAGCATTTCCTGGTGGCCCAAGAATGTCTAGCCATAGCTCAAAATTCAGATTCACATAGCACCTGAATTTTAGAAATGTGTATTACCTCATTTTTCTGCTATTTTAAAAATGTAATTTTCATTTATATACACTGAGTGAATTTTGGATCTCTTTTCATGGTACAGGGAAAGCTCAATACATCTCCCTCATAGAATTTTCATAATATAATTTTTTGTATTTTACTTGAAAAAAAGTTAGCTTTTACCAACAAAATGGTAAAAATAGAGGCAACTATAACTTAAAATTACACAGCTTCTTCATGTTTTATTCATAGCACTCTTTGTACATCGGAAGCTTCACTGGTACTTAATTTTCTGCAGCATCCTTTGGGTGAAGCACAAAATTACATTAATTATAAACAGAAACAAACCACTTTTGACTTTTTAAAATTATATATATATATTTATATCCAGTTGACAAATAGCATCACAATTATTACTGTATAAAAAACTAAAAATCACCATGGAAGCTGAGGCCTAAGTTTTATTCCAATTATTCCCTTTTAAGATATTAAAATTAGATTCCAGTACCTCAAAAACAAACAAACAAAAGAAAAAACCAAAACAAGACAAGGAAAAAAAAGGGGCCTACATTATTTACATACAGTATGGAAAATAAAAGCTGCTTTTCTAGCTAAGTTAGATTGCTGTTACCTACAGTATTTACACAGTAAATGTTAAGGGGAAAAATAATAGTCAAAATACCACTTCAAAGAGATATGTTGTGTCTGGAATTTTGTTCTGAAATTATTTTTGTATCTCCTAATAAGTAGTTGAATATAATCTGACTTCTAAAGAATCTATTGAAAGTCTGAAATAGAATACCACTATTTTTTATACTGCTAATCTAGACACTGTTAAGTCCAATACTGTAGTAACTGTAAGCACTGAACTTTAAGTGAAATATGACAATGTATACAGATGAAATTTTATTTAATATTGTAAAATATAATGCCTTAATTATACCCACAATTATGAGTCAATCTACTATATAAATCTTTTATTAAGTCTCATGTGAGTCTCTAAGCAGTGAAACCTTTCAGTAACTTACCAGAAAAAATTTTAATTGTTATCATGTTCTTCTTAGGATTGTTTTTCTAATACTTAAAAACATCTAAACTCTTGGTAAAAACACAATCAATTCAATGTAACAGACTGAGCTTTAAACTACTTTAATTTTCGAAAACTGTAATCTATTAGTTGATTGAATCCAATGTAGAATAAATGACTCACTATGAAGTGTGTCAAATCAATGATAGAATGCATAGAAAAGTGGAGGTAAGTTTTGGGAAAGGTTAATGTAGAAAATGGCAAATGCTAATTTCAGTAACAAAAATGGCACTAAATGCAGATGGAAGTTAAATTAACAGAGTATAAAAATGAACAGCTTAAATAAACCGGAATTCACATATTACAACAGCAAAGTTATGACAGAATGAACCAAAAGACACGAACAGTTCTGAAAATTCTCTTTTCAGCCTACTTCCAATAGAAATAGTCGGGCTTTTTCCTGTACATAGTTTTGATGCTTTGTCTATACCATATATAGTAGAAAAATAAATTCTTTAGCAACCTAGAAACAGTTTATAAAACTCTTAAAGTTTAATTTTCTTTGCCAGACATGCCAATGTTAAACTGACAGCTATAAATTAAAGCTATATAGACAATAGGTATAAGTAATATAGAACAAGTTAAGAATACTACATTTACCGGATAATTTTTTTAAAAATTACTGTACTTTCTTAATTCCTGTGTGCTTTGCAATAGGAATAATAGGGGTTTTGTTTTCTTAGAAAAGATAATAACATGAAAGAGTATAACACAAATAAGATAATTTATAATATACATATATTTCAACAGCAGCCTGGTTCATGTTGACATCTTGGTTCTGAAGTCAAAATTGGAAGTACAATACCTAGGACATAATAGTTGGGAAAGAGTATTTATTTTAGGGGAAAAATGGGCAAATCAAACTCTTAGGAGCCTTGAATCTCAAAATCATCTGTTTACTATAATATACATACGATAATTTTAAACTTGCAGTATGATAGAAGATTACAACATCAACCAAAGAAGTTTTTCTTTACTACACAAAATATGACCCAGCAATGGGAAACGAACCATTTTTCTTCCTGGAAAAAAAATGGCATGAGAAAATTTGGAATAAAGCCTAACAAAATTTACCTGTAACACTTAGTCTGAAAATTTTAGCCATAATGTAGTGTTTCTAGTTGTATCTTCAGTAACAAAATATTTAACCCCAAAAGCAGCAGTCATTCATAGCAACTCTGGTACCAACGTCAAAGGAAAAAATGGTTTTAAAAATGGTGCAAAAGCCATTTTGGATTTTAGTACAACACATTACAGAAAAGAATATGAATACAAGTTTATAATTTTATATATACATACTCCAAGGAGTCTGTCAGTACCCAAAGTATTTTTATTGCTATCTTAGCAATGGATTTTTTGGATATGTTTTTAAGGGCCACATAAAAATAGATTCAAGGAACAGATTAAATTGAAGTCCTAGATTAAAATGTTTGGTTTAAAGAATTTTCTACAACAAATTTCATGTTTATGTATGAAAAGTTATATAACCTTATATGAAAATGTCATGAAGTATTCTTCTATACTATACTAAATGTATTCCCCAAGAGGGAAAAAAATTAAAATATCTAAAATATATTAGATTAAGATTACAAGACCATCATAGATCTTTTGAACATGCAACTGTTTACAGAATTAACCGTATACAAAATGTTTAATATGGACCATAAGGAAATGAGTTGTTGACAGCTGTCCTTTGCACATTATCAACCCATTTTTAGCCACAAGCATGTCCTTGGGTATGTGTATAAAAGGAATAGATTTATCTATTCATCAAATCATTCACAGATTTTTTTAGAAGTGAAGATGAAGGTGCAGAGTATGAAATACGTTAAGTATATTTTTTTCTATCACACAATATCCCAAGCATGGCATAAGTAGTCTGAAATTGTAAACTATGAAGTGTGATCAAAATGTACAGTGAATGCTTAAATTAAAAAAATTTTCATTACAGTGGAAGATGCACTGCCATTAATGCCCTGCAAAATATTTCCTTTTGCTTTGATCATACTTATCCTATTGCTCTTGCCACATTCTCAAACAGTTCTGGAAGTCCTCTTTCTTAAGAGGTATGACCAGATATATGTGAATGCTGCTGTGGAATGCCATCCACTGAAAGGCAAGCTCATTTACAGTGGGCTGAGTCTGGTGGTGCATGCCTGTAATCCTACCACTCATAAGGCTGAGGCAGGATAACTACTGGAAGGTTCAAGGCCAGTCTAGGCTAAATCGTGAATCCACGCCAGCCTTAATGACCCAGCAAAGCCCTGTCTCAACAATGCCTTACAATGTGTCTTTATCTACCTTATTACCAGATGGTGTGACTTTTGACTATTTCTTAAAGCTAAAATGACCATGGAAGGTGTTTTGAATCAATTTAGAACATTAAGGCAATCACAGCAGTCAAAATGAATACACTCATGAAAAAGCACTTTCAGAAATGCTTCAGAAAATGATAAGAATGATGGGATAAGTGCGTTTCAAGTTAAGAGGAATATTGTGAGGAGAATTAATGGCAATGTGTCTCTTACTGTAATAAATTTTCTAAAAATTTTAAACATTGACCATATTATTAACCATGGTTTTCAATTACATCATGTATTTAAGTGGGCTTTTAGTTATCAACAGACTGCTAGAATGTAAATTAAGTTGACCCAATAGGTACATCAAATAACAAAATCAGCCATAAAGCAGGCTGAAAAGCATTAAATGTTTCATATATGTGAGTTTTTAAATCATTTAATTTCTATAGAAAAATTTTATTCACAATATAATGTGACATAAATTGCCACAGGAATGATATACTGATTGCAATACGGTTGCATGCAGCAGCAGCTTTGTATTTTATAGCTATTTTTGTTTATAAAAATTAAACCTCTCCAGTCATGCTTACCACATGTCCTTAGATTTGTAATGTAGGTGAATAAGGAATACTATATAGTTCAAAGAGAAAGTATCTCATTTGAATGTGAATTATCTGTATGAAACATGAAATATACTATGGAACCCTGAAACATGCACATCTAGGTTTACTTTTTGTCCAATTCTAGGCTGTCTGCAATCACTTATATGATACCAAGAGGATCCGTCTGTAATTGTGGTTGTATCAGCTGAGGTTGCAATGGTGGTGGTAACTGAAGCGGTACCACTGATTCCACCAGCTGTCCTGGGTTTGAAGGTGGAGGAGGAGCCACAGTGTTTGCAGTTTCTACAATTTCTCCATTGTAAAAGAAAAACTGACACTGTTGAATGAATGTTTCAACAACAGATTGATGGATCTTAGTGGTAGACAGAAACTCTCGGTTTTCAAAATCAGGTCTCATCAAAGTTGGCCAAAAACAGATGGATAAGTTATCTGCTGTCATTAGGTTGATTTTATTTTGCTGACTAACCCTGAAATTACAAAAGGAAAAAACAAAAATCAGAATTATTACAACTACAAAATACCAAAGCTAGAAATGTTCTGTCACCTATTATCCTTGTCAAATTTATAACAATTTTCTTCTTGTACATTTATTTGTATCTAATCTTTTAAATACCTAAGCAATCACTTCTATCATTTTTAATAAGCAATAGATAAAAGACAAGAAGCAAATCTTGGAACATCATTCAAAATTGTCATATTGGAAGAGATCTTGGGAGTTTATCCAACCCCCTTATTTCACACATACTGATAGTGACAGTATGGAGTTCACAGCCAGGAACTACACAGGAAAGCAAGGAAATCCTAAATTTAGAGATAAAAAATTTCAAAACATAGAAATTGCTCATCTGAGATAAAATATGTGGCCTATAGCATATCTAAGAACTTCTTGAGGGCTCCTGATGTTTTTAACTCTTGTCAGGTGGGGTCTGGCTACTTTATTCCACTTACAGGTTCACAGGTGATACAAAAGATGTTTTTTGGGGACTATGGCTGGCATGAAAACAGTTTTATCCAATTACACTAGTTAAGTATTCCTCTTAAAATTTAAACTTGATTATGTTATTCCTCTGTTCTACTCAATGGTGGATCTTCCACATGATAAAGTAACAGAGAGAATGTAAACCACGCAATGCCTTTTTCCTAAAGAAGTGTGGCCCCAACTCTTAAAAAGCAAAGCAAACCAAACCAAACCAAACCAAAACAAGTGAGTTTAAGACTTTGAAAAGTGCTGTCCTATAATAATCTGGCACTATCCCTTTCCTTTTCTCACTGTACCTCTTTTACTTTGATCTTATTACATAGGCCTCTGTGACCTTTAATGCATCAACTATGCTGTTGGTCATGTTATTTATTAGCTGTTGTTTCAACACAACCAAAAACACAGTTTCAGTACACAGTAAATCTTTAAGATAACTGTGATAGTGGGCCACACTATGACTCTTTAAATATGCTCTGGCTTTTGGTTCTTTTTTCTTTGATTTCTTTTTAATGCAGTCCAATTCTTATTTTAGGCAGACAATAATATTTTCACAAAGTATCCTTACACTTTATATTAGTTCTCATGCAGTACCCATGCATATTGCCATCACATCATCAAACCACTTGTTATTTATTGTGCTTTTCAGAAGAGAAAATTCCACTAAATATACTATCTTAACACTATATATGCTATCGTTTTCGTAAAGATTTGGGAGAGTCATAAGGAATGTTAATACAATTTTACACTATACAATGACATCAAACATAACTCTTTAAACAATAAATCCACTTTGTTTGGGCTTTGATATTAAGTTAAAAAAACCAACTGCAGCTCATTATATATTTTTTGCAGTGCTAGGGATTGAACCAGGGCCTCATATATGCCACTGAGCTACATTTCCATCCCTTAAGTTCATTCAAATACCAGTGGAAAATATTCTGAAGATAGTAAGACTTTTGAAAAAAAATCACTACAAATACTAATAATCTCATTCAGCGCTCAAAACAACTTTCTCTGTGTTGTTTTTCTCATTTTTACAGGTGAGAAAATGAAGACTTAGCAAGAACAATCCTTCCAAGGTCACAAAACTAGAAATATTTCCAATTGATACTTTTTTAAACTCCACTGTCTAAACTTTTGTTCATTGTATCTTTCATTTAATAAATGCCACCAGGAGGAGCATTTTTTCAGAAAAAAAGCATAAACTTGAACCTATGTTAAATATATTAATACTAAAGACTATTAATACAAGGATTAATGCCTTCCTTTCAGTCAGGACAGTTTCTGATAAAATTTCACTGTGTGGAATACATAGGTAAAATAAACAAGATACAAACCAGCACCACAAGTTGGGAAAAGCAAATAGAACCACTTAAGACTTGGACTCTAGCCATAAAATGTATTACCTATTAATTACGTGATTTGGGATACTTTCTTTTTAAGTCTTGTTTTTTTCAATTCCAAGTAGGCTGATCTGATACATAAATACTTTTCATTTATGTTCTTAATAAATATTATAAATTTATCAAATACATTTTATAAATATTTTATAAATAATATCTAAAGAGTCTACATAAGAAAAATGGTAAAAAGTGGGACAAAAAAAACTACATACTGACCATACTTACTATTTATGTAATTATCACATGTACAAAAATAATAATCATATACATTTAGGAATATATTAGAAAATATAAGCTAGATAATTATAAGAGAACCAAAACTAAACCATGTTTAGTTTCTATGCCTTTAAGAAAAATCTTCTAATTACCCAATTTATAGTTTATAAATTTGAAATGTGCAGATTTCATTTACAAAAACAAAACAAACATACCTGTTTAGATGTGTTATCACATATCTGAGTACATCATAGTTTACAGGATGAAATTTCTTGACAATTTCTTTCAAGGCATGAAGACGTTCTGTTTTATCTAAGATTTCTGTAGCAGTAGAAAAATTTGCATGAAACTCACATTTAAAAATATTTGATAAAAGCTTAACATTTTCTATTAAAAAAAATTATGCCTGAAAAACAATGAGTAGGTAAACAACAAAAAAGTGCTAAAAGAATTTGCTAAATTATCTAAAATAAAAATCCCTTACATTTATTTACTACTAACTTTTCACAAATAAAGTTGTTCTCTACAAATCAAATGACTCAGCACTGATAAAATGGAAAATGGTATATTAGCAACTTACCCATGCAAATAACTAGACATTAGTCTAGAATTAACTGATTACTTACACAGTGAACCTACTGGCTCTTAATTTTGAGTCTACAGATAGTAAACATTTTATGCTTTGTGGGTACAATTACCCAACTCTGCAGTAGCCGGAGTACAGAAACAGTAACAGACAATATATAACAAATGAGCATTGATTATCTTCCACAAACTTTTGAAACTTGAATTTATCATTTTAATGTGCCATGAAATTTCCTTTTTTAAAAATTTAAACTAATTTTCAACTATTATCTTTCAAAAAGATAAGTCAGCCACAGCTGACTACACTATACTTAATGATTATCCACTTTGGCGATCAAAAATTTTCTTTGCTCTCTAAATTTATATAAACTGTAAGATAAGATACCTGACATGTGATCCTGTAACAGAGATGAGAAATTGCTTCCCTGATCTTCCTCACTCATTTTGGAGGCCAATGTGCATACCAAATGATTATAGTAGTGCAACCAATTACTAACAAATTCTCATGTGTCATATTTCTTTTTTTTCTTTCTCTCTCTCTCTCTCTCTTTTTTTGTCTTTTTTGAGACAGGCTTTTGCTATGCAATTCAGGCTGGCCTTAAACTCACTGGTCCCGAACTCGCAGCAATTCTCCTGCCTTAGCCTCCCAAGTGCTGGGATTATAGGTATGTACTACCACACTCTGCTTCATGCGTCATGTTTCTAAATCAGCTCTCAAAAATGTCCTAAGTAGAAAAGTTCTCTACAGTTTATGATCAAGAAATAAGAAAACCTAAACTATCAATTCAACTTCTATATGAGATTTATTTGAAATATGCCTAAGTATGTATCTTGAGATAATATAGTGAAGGTTTTTAATTAAAATTTTTAAAAATTGATAACTGATATACTTAAAATTATAATGAAGTATTCTCAGTTAAGAACTAGGTTATTTTACCCTTAAGTAGACTTGCAGTCCTATTTTTTAAACAAATCAAAAGTTATTTATTGGAAACATAAATGATTGGATCAAACTTGGAATTAAGTACCCCTTGTTAATGCTTTACTGTTTCCAAAATTACTTAAGAGATAAAACCCAACTAATATTAATTTAACAAATTTAAATAGATATGTGCAACCAACATACAGGTTAATATTTTGCTTAAGTATATTATAAATATATTCATTTGAAGATACAATTTTTTACAATGTCTTTGAACTTGAATTAAAAATATAAACCATTAATCTATAGTTTACAGAATGAACTTTGTAGAGCAACTATCTTACATGGTAACTTAAAACTGAATATTGCTGGAAGCTAGCCCCAGGAATTCTGAGTTTACTTCAATTCAAAGAAAAATACTATGGAGAAACACAGTTCTAGTAAGCTTAATTTTTACTATCACATATTTTAACACATGATTCATTAACACATGACAATCAATATCCAAAAATTGGAATCATTATCTTTCTCCAAGAAAAAGAAGCTAATACTTACTTGCTGCTTCTAATAGCTCTGGATGAAGAGAGTATGGGATTAAAGGATCTGGCAGATCTGTAAAGAAAGCTTTAAGAGCTCCAGCTACAGCATTTACTGTTACTTCCATTGATACTAGATTGATATTATGATCTAAAAGACAAAAAGCAAAATTTTTATAATAAAATTTGAATTTATTAAAAACAAGTGAGCAAATCTGTACTTTAAATCAAAAGATATTTAAAACCTCTCATTAGCTATTTTTATTTAGCAGCCAACAAACTACAGATATCACACACACACACACACACACACACACACACACACACACACCAAGCAAGAAGTATTTTCTATTAAAATAAAAAAGGCTGTTAGTTTTACTTTACCAAAGAACATTGCCAATCCCTACCCTTTTGCTTTCTTTCATTTACACACTATTTAAAAGAGGACACAGGGGCCAGGCATGGCAGTATATGTCTGTAATCCCAGCACTTCAGAGGCTGTCGCAGGAGGATCACTGCGAACTTGAGGCTAGCCTGAAAAGCATAGTGAGACCCTATCTCAAAAAGACAAAAATAACATAACATAAAAATAATAAAAGAGGCCACAAGGAGCTAAACAGACAAAAGATAGGAATTATGACCTAATTTGAATTTTAACTTTATATTTAACAATTTAAATGTGAATTGTCACAACACTGAAATTCTTATTTAAAAACAATGATGGAACAAACTAATGGTGCACAGGTCAGAAAATAATAAATTCCCATCACCTACAAAACATTATAGCTTATACTTTGCTTCCTTTCATCCCTTTTCTGCTCATAAAAAAAAAAAAGCCAGTCATTATTCATGTTATACTGGAGTTCATCTTTAAAATGTTATCCAAGATTATTAAAATTCCATAAATAAGTTTTCAAAAATACTTTGTTTTTGGTGGGTATGGTGGCACACGCCTATAATCCCAGCACTTGTGAAGCTGAGGCAGGAGTGCTGTGAATTTGAAGCCAGCCTGGACTATATAGCGAGTTCAAGGCCAGTCTGAACTACATAGTGAGACCTTGTCTCAAAAAAGAAAAGAAAAAAATAATTTTTTTATGGGCAAGATTTAATTATAATTTCAAACCTGTAGAAAAGTTGCAAGATCAATTCTAAGGAATTACATATATCACTAGAATTGCAAATTTTTATAGTGCTTTGCTCTATAAAACATTTTAAAAGGCTATAAAATATCTCCCCAGATTGACCAACTTATACAATATTTTATAACTAAGCATCTATATTTCATTTAAAAACATTATGAAAATGCTCTGATAAACACTTTTATCTATTACAGCTTAGGGTATATACCTTGACCACGTACTTTAATATGGTGCCTAAGACAAACAAAATTCTCAATATGCATTATCTTGTTATCTTCATACTTTATCTTACTCTCTCTACAATACAGAGGTGAAGAAACTGAGATTTAGAAGGACTAACCTGCCTAGAGTATACACAAAGTCAAAACCAAGAGCCTTGATATTGACTGTTACCCTACCTTTATTACCAACTTAATTATACATTCTCAACTTTCCATTAGTATTTTTTGAAATGGGATATTAGACTATTACAGGAATCTTTGGCAACATGGCATATTTTATTACACATATTCAGTACGTATTTTGCCATTTTAAAAAACCTAACTCATTATTTTACATGGTTACCAAGTATTCTATATAATTTGGAATAAAACATATGGGTGGTTCTTTCATCTTTTTAAAAAAGAATTACAAACAGGGCAAAAAATGCCCGTGGGATGCTTATACAAGGTCTTCTATAACAAATCCCTTTAAGCAGAAGTATTTAGCAAAGAAAGGTTCATGAACTTTAATACTACATACTCACAAAAGGCACTCAAAGCCAACACTATATAAGATACCTGTTTGCCTACAACCTCAACAGTTATTTAAATTCTAATAATACATAGAAGCTTCGAAAGAAATTTTTTCTTTATCACTGACGGAGGCTGAGCATATTTTTAAATGTTTACCAGTTTTTTTCCTGATGTATACTGCTTAATCTAGTATGGTTATTCTACACCATCCCCAAGATTATGGTTTGTGTCTTGATCTTATGCTTTATCTATATTCTCATATAGAATTTTTGCAATTATAGTTAGTCCAATCTATTATTTTGGCTCATGATTTCTAATCAAGTTTGGGCCCTCCACTCTAAAACTAAAATATTCACTCATTTTCCCCAATACTTTTGGTTTTTACTTTTTACAGTTGAATCTTTGGTCATACATAAAATTTACTTACAAGTAGGAAATCTGATTTTCTTTTTACTTCTAATGGTTATTTAACATCATGCCCAAACCCCCAAACTCTCATGCAGTGTTATTTTTGATATACAAAGATGCTGATATATCATGTCAATTTATTATTTTTCTAATTCTGGTGATGGATTTGTAATGATTCAATCACAGGCTTTCATTCCTTCTGGGCCTTTGATAGACTTTGTTTCAATACTGACTGCCTTCTTTTTCAGGACTTTCTTTATTAGGGCTCTTTTTCTGCCTTCACATTTACATTTAAAAATACTAATTCTCTAGTGTCTGGCCTTTTAGTAATAAAAAGTTTTGAAGTCATCAATAGTCTTCCTACAAGGATAAAAACAACTTATTTTTCCCAGCTCTCCTCCCTCTTTACTGTGCTTTCTACTGTTTAATACTTCTAGTCTCACTTTTGAAACTTTTTCTCAATATTCGTATCTGTAGGATATTTTCAAATAAAAACCAATATTTTCAACACAAAATTAAATAAGGGAAATAATAAAAAACATTATTTCATATGATTATCTTCTTACCTTGATCAAACTGTTTTTGAATGTTGTCTTGGTCAGTTTTATTTCCACTAACACGGTAGAGCCCTTCTGTACACAATCCTAAGAGAATGAAGTATACTTTTTAAAATATAAAAAACAAAGAATATCATTAACCATACATATTCAGTAACTTAAAAATATAATATTTTAAAGAATAAATAAAATATTTATTTTTAGGGCTGGGGATGTGGCTCAGTGTCAGACTACTTGTCCAGCACGCACATGGCCCTGGCTCCAATCCCCAGTACCAACAAAAACAAAACAAGACAGAACAGAAAGAATAAAATAGTTTTGAGCATTTTATTTTTAAGAAATGGACTTTCTATCTGAAACTCCTTAGGACATACAGTTCCAAACAAAGTGAGTAAATTTTTTTTTTTTTAATCGGTACTGGGGATTGAACTCAAGACCGCCTGCTTGCAAGGCAGGTGCTTATGCCGCTGAGCTAAATCCCCAGCCCCATGAGTAAATGTTTTTTCCTATTCTTCCCAATAAGCGCAGCTCAAAACCTCAAAAAATATACATTACATACCAACTTACACATATTTATTGTATATATTTACATACATATAAGATGACTAAATGGTGCACAGAAGGTAGACTGGCTAACAACTGGAACTTAAAAGTTGAAAAAAATCAAGAGCTTTTATATTATAAAAAATAATATTATAGAAATACCCTACATGCTCCCAACCTTTTATGTACAAGACTGGGTAATAGAGAGGCCTTGCAGCCCCAAAACACAACAAGCACACACAAAAACAAACTAAACAACAATAATGAAACAAACCAAAAAACTACCAACAAGAAAAGCCAGCTCTCTCTAATGAAAAGATTGGGGAAGGTATAACCTAGGTGAGACACAGACCTTTTTGACTTCAATGGTACTACTCGGGCCAAATTGGTATGGAATCTCTCTCTTCACCTTGTCAGAAAGTGGAAAGCAACCAGCAAACCTAGACTTCCACTCTTGCCAACCTTGGAGATGAATGGAAAACTTGTATTTCCACCACCAACCTCAAGTAAGAGGTGCACTAACCTCCTCATCATGGTATTATCAGTGAATGCCAAAGTGGAAAGTATGAACTTTCAATCCTCCCTCTTCCCCTGCTGGTATGGTGTCAAAAGAAGCTTGCTAAAACAGAAGATTTAAGTAAGATCCAAAGTCTTTTAATGACCAGGCTACAATAACCACCAAAATCACCCATCATACTAAACAGAAACAGAAAACAACAACAAAAAACTTACTGAATAGGATCAACAGTAGTGAAGAGATGAAAAAGGAAAGAATAACTTAACTTGAAGGTAACAGAAAGAAATCAGACTAAAAAAAAAAAAAAAATGAAGAGCTTTCGAAGGCTTGTGGGACAATAGAAGATCTAACGTGTCACTGGCCAAAAGTATATGGTACTATTTGACCACAGTAAAGAAAAAAAAAAGACAAAAAAAGGCAATTCCATCAACTTTATTATTCCTGGTCTATGCATAGAACAACATCAATCCTCTCAAGTTCTTTCTGGTTAAAAGTATTTCCTTCTTTACAAAATTCTATGAAAGAGAAACAAAGTATAACAAACTTCCTTTTTCAGAAATCCATAAAGATGATAAAAATGATAGGAACAAAATTTTACTGACCAAAATTTAGGTCAAAGTTGTATCTATTAAAGTTAAGTGTTACTGGTACTTCCAACATGAATTAAACTCATTTGTATTCAGATATGTGAAAGAAAACAGACTTAAAAGAATATATTTATTATGATTCTATTTATCTGACTTCTTAAAGCAGGCATTACTTATTTACATTAAGGGGAAAGAATAACAAAGTTGTTTCTGGTGACTGGAAGATTAGTTAGGAAGTGATATAAAGTATGACAAAAGTGTTCTTATACTTGGAAGTATACCAAATTGTAAGTTTCTAAGACAACTGCAAGCAAATACTTAACTTTAGTTAGTAGCTTCCATTCTAATATGAGAGATATAGATACAGATACAGATATATAGATATATAGATGCGTTCTTGTTTGGAGAAAGTTTCACTAAGTTTCACTAAGTCTCAGAATGGGCTGAATTTGTGATATTGTACATTGTTTCTACCATGTAAGATTAGCTGATACAGAACTTGCTCTCCCAAAACTTGTATAAACAGTTTTTCAAGCTCTCAATAGCAGCTCAAATATAAATATTAATCCCATTTACTCAGGAAACTAAGGCAGGAAGATCTTCAAGACTGCTTTAGGCTTCTTTGGCTGACTGAGGTAAACAAACAGGGCTGGGGATATAGCTCAGTGCACCCTGGGGTCAATCTATAGTACCACAAACAACAGTAACTAAACCAACTATGCTCCATAAATAAAAGTTAATGAAACTGGAAAGATTTTAGGAGGTAGTAAAGCGAGTTTAGAAATGCAACAAACCACAATGGTCTATCATAGTTGAAGAAATAGGCAGTGGAAGAGCTACACAGAGTAAAAGCTCAGATACTTGGAAAAGTCTCTGGCATCTCTGGCTGAATACTGCAAATGTATGCAAGAAAAGTTTCAGGGGCCTGGAGTTCAAAATTACTCTCAAAAAAACCTTTTAAAATAGGCCACTGGGTAAAATATTGTTTTCCTGTAGGTCTAAATAAGTACCAGAATAAGGCTGTTCTGGATCTTTCACATTTTAGCAAAATTAAAGCTAGCAATATAGAAAAAATGTGACAAAATCAACATCCATTTGGGAGGAAAACTTTTAGTCAGCTAGAGTACATTTTTGATTTGATAAAAACAGCATCTAAGGCCAGGTGTGATGACACATCTGTAAACCTAGCACTGGAGGCTGAAGCAGGAGGACTGCTCCAAGTTCGAGGCTAGCCTAGGCTACAAAGTGAGTTTAAGGCCGACTGGAACTGCATAGTGAAACTGTCTCAAAAAGATTAAAAAAAAAAAGAAGAAGAAAGAAAGAAAGAAAAGAAATGGGACTGGGAGTGTAGCTCAGTTGTAGAACATTTATTTAGCATGTGTGATACCCTGGGTTCCAACCATATCCCTCCTAAGAAAGAAAAGAAAAAACCCAACAACAGTCCCTCCAAAATACACATACACACACACACACACATGAATTTAAAGACCCAAAAAATCCCAAAGAGCCAGTTGATCATGAAAGATTAGGTGCTTTCAGGGTGATGAAATAGTCTGCATTTTCACCAGGCGTGGTGGTGCACACCTGTAATCTTAGTACTTAGGAGCTGACACAGGAGAGGGTCATTGTAAGTTTGAGGCCAGCCTGGACTACATAGTAAGTTCAAGGTCAATCTGAACTATATAGTGAGACCCTGTCATCCCCCCACAAAAAAAGAAAAAAAAAATAGTCTGTATCTTGAATGTGGGTGGTTACATGACCATAAAGTTATCAAAACTTACATGGTATAATTAAAACTGTTGAAATATAATCTATGTAAATTTTATGAATAAAGTTCATTTTGAAGACTATTAAATTTTCTTCCAGGTTGTTAAAAGGAAAAGCTCATTATAACAATGGTACTGGTAATTTACTATATCTATAAACAGCAAAATATCATTTTAAAATAGGTATCTGCAATATATTTCTGTTACTGCAAGCTGAACCTTAACTCTAAAGCAACTGGAAATTTCTGTTAAAACTTTACCAGTTTTAAAATCTGTTAAAAAAAATAAAAAGCACCATCCTACAAGAAAACTAGCTTTATAAATCTTTTAGTCTACTTTTGTGGTCTTACAGTTTCTTACTCTCTTTTGTTTTTGTTTATTTGTTTCGTTTTTGGTACCAGGAATTGAACTCACGGCCTCATGCTCACCAGGCAGGTGCTTGTACCACTGAGCTAAATCCCCAGCACCTTCTTAGTCTATTTCTACCAAAGTACTTTAAACATATAAATTATCTTAATTAGTTGACCTGACTTAATTTGCGTTGTACTACAAATTAGAAATGCATTTAATCTCATACTTGAAATTCGTTCATTTCTTCAAACCACACTCAACAACTATAAAAACACTAAAGAAATAATTTTTAATTATAATAACAATGATGGGAATTTAAAATTGTAATAATAAATGCCAATGCATCATTATTTTCAATCACAAATCAAAATATTTTCCAATTGCTTAGTTGTATCTACAAGGCTTAACTATATTATTAGAGAAAGAAAGAATCCTTTAAATCCCAAGCAGAAAGCTAATATTAAGGACCTTTGTATTTCTTCTATATTAAAAATGAGCAGAAATACAGACAAGAAATTTGCCTAAAACATACTTTCAAGTACTTGAAGGGGAGTAAAAAAGGGTAAATGGCATACTCTATATATGTTATATGAATTAATACTTATTAACTGAAGGAAAAAGACATGCTACAACTACAGTACTAGTGAATAACAGTATTTCTTCACATTCTATCTCTTTATTAAACCATCATTTTTTTTTTTTTTTGGTACTGGGGATCAAATTCTTGACCTCACACTTGCCAAGCAGCTGCTTACGCTGCTGAGCTAAACCTCTGGCCCTAAATCATCATTCGTTACCAAAGAGATGATCCAGTGTAAAGACAACCTAGCTGATAATCAAACTTAAGGATAATATGTACATATGCAAAAATGTGCACAATTAAGACACAGGAATGCCAGTATTTAAGGAATACTTGTATTTAAAAAGAGAACATTAAGAACAAAGCTAAAACTGACATAGCTCTTGTTTTCAAACCATTAAAATTTTATAGTCCATTCAACATATCTTCATTAACCTATCTTCATTTAAAATACATTCAAGGCATTTAAAATATATTCAGCAGAGTAAGTGCCTGCCTGGCAAAGTGCAAGGTTGTGAGTTCAATTCTTGGTACAAAAAAAACCCCATATATATATATATATAAAATATATGTATTTTTTTCTTTCAAACACAATAATCTGCCTCTACTGGACCTCTGATAGGTCTAATTCTTTTTTTAGCTTCAGTAGTTCACATTAGGCAAAATAAACCTAACAGTAATCTTTTAAAAATGTATCTTTAACTATGGCTGTGAAGTTTAAAAGAAAAAAAAATCCATGGGTCAAATGATAACACAAATAGTAATGAATTTAAAAATACCAAAAATTTCCAAATTATTGGTTCAAATAATAATAATAATCTCTTGATCATATAATTTAATAATTGAATTATTCTCAATTTTACAATAAGGTCAATTTAACATTTTTAGCATTCAACTTGGCCATTCATTAGGCTCAAGAAGTCAGGGTAAGGTATTACTGTCAATAGTAAAACTCCTTTCAAATATCAGATGATTGCCTTAATATGCAAGAAAATCAACAATAAATCTCTTCCAAATTTACCTTCAACAAGTCACAAACATTTCATAAATTGTTGGTGTCACAAAAATGAAATTTTAAATCAAAATTCTTACATGAATACATCTATCCTACCTGTATCTTCAATAAATTCCACACATTTTTCAACGAAAAGTGGTATGGGCTTCTCAGCTGTGACCAGATCCTGGAGGGGCATCCCAAAGTAATTACTTTCCCAATTCCTACGTGTTGGTGGGTTGAAGTTTTTAGTTTTCTTTTTTTGCTGTAAGAAAATAAATTCAAATTAAAGCTATTAAAATGTATGTTCTTCAAAATAATAGTATCAAGCAAATACAGTCTGGAGCAAAGAAATATTTAAAAACCACATTCAATCTAAATGCCTATCAAGGGATACACAAAAGTAAACAAAAAATAAATAAAATTTTTTTAAAAAAATCTCAAAACTGGCCTGAAGAAAAAGTTTCTGGAAAATAATACAAGACTAGAGAGACAGAGATTAGAAGGATTAGAAAATACAAGAGATCATTTTTCATGCTAAAACAAGAGACAAACCAGGTATAACCCATTCAGTTTACATGTGATCTGTTAATTTTATTTGGCATTTGAGATAGATTCAAAGTGATATATTTTTTTTTTTTTGGTGATCATAAGTAACAATGAACAAATTGCTGATAATACAATAAGGCTCTACAACTCCGTAAGTTCAGTCTCACTAATTTTCCCTTGTTATTTTCCCATTTTCTATCTACTGATTGTATTTTTATAATGTTGAAACAATTTTCAGAAGAAATCTTTCAAAAGAAATTCTCAGTACAAAAATTATTCACAATAACAAAACCCAAGGAAGGGAGTAAAAACCCAAGTAAGTATTGTCTAAATCAATGATGAACAGACTCTGATTTAGTCTTTCTTGAACAAGGCATGGCAAGAATCTTCATGGGTGATTCTACTGTACACTAATAGTCAAGAATCTCTGAAATGTAGGAAGATAAAAAGTTTTCTGTAATTAAAAGATGATACAGCGCTTGGCAGCTCTGGTTCCTTTTCCAGTCTAATTTTATCTACAAATTTTTACTTTCTTTAGTATAAATCAAGAAATCATACTAGTTTTAAATATTATTACTGGTTTACAAATAGGACAAAAACAATTTCTAGTAAGAACAGAGCAGGAAAAGGGAGCATAGGCACATCTTTCTATGTGTAAAGTAAAAAGTACTCTTCCTCTTCTTAATTTGCCATTGTTTCTAAGAGACTCTTTTCTTTGGATAGCTCTCTCAATATTCTCAAGTCTTTGGATATCTTCAATACTAAAGTCTTTTTATTTTCATATTATTATTCTACCTAGCAAATGATAGAGCTCAAGAAATCTAACTTCTAAATCTTTACACACTATTATTCTCTGGTGATACAGATTATATACAAGTCTAGATATATTGAAATATACAACACAACTTAAGTGTTTGGAATGCTGTCAGCAGGGTCTGAAAGTGTTAGATTTGGCTCAACAACTAACCAATCAAATAATGTAGATCCTCATTCCTTAAATGATTCCTCTACTACTGTACTACCACCATCCAAATAAAACCACATTCAAGGAAGTAGAAAGAAGACACTAATACCCCAAGGCTGTATGTCCTTTTCTTGAGAGCATTAACATGCACTGCAATTAGCAAACTATAAAATCCATTCTCATTGCTTAGAAAAGTGAAATCTGAGGTAAAGATGACATTTTTTTTTAAAACCCAAGGAGCATCATGGTGGGTAAAATACATCCTGACTATAGTTTTCTAATGAAAACATGCACTTCACCATAACCATAGCCAGCTGTGCATCTCAGTAGCTGAATTGGAGGAATACTAGAAGCAATCTTTATGTTCACCCACTTGGGATGACAAACAGCAAGGTGTATACAAGTGTGTCGAAGTGTAAATGGGTGAGTTTTACCCACATTAAGGGCCATGTTACATATCTATATATTTATAATTTGTTTTTCTAAGTGTTTTCTTTTGATTTTTCTTGTAGAATTAGTCCAATTCAGTACAATGCTGCATGCAAATCTGCTTTTACACCTTTGGGAAGAGGTTGAAAAGAAGTCAACAAGATGATGGCAATTTTGATCATGTAAGCCAAAGAAATTAGCAGTATATGACACATGACAGTTACAGGTATGATAGAGAAGTACAAAATGGAGTACTTGATTCAGATGAGGAAGAAAACAGTAATGTAAACAAATATTTGACTAGTTAAAATGCTACAAAATGGTCAACTATACCCAAATGATTCATGTTAGAATTAGGTCAGAATGGGGCTGGGGATTTAGCTCAGCGGCATAAGCACCTGCCTTGCAAGCAGGTAGTAGTGAGTTCGATCCCTGGTACTGATAAAAGGGAAAAAGACAAAAAAAAAAAAATTAGGTCAGAAAATTTTATTAGGGTTTCTGGCCAAGGGTGAAACCTAAAGTGCCAACATTGTGATTCAATATTGGAAATTGTTTATAATGAACGATACACTACAGATGTTTTGAAACACACTAATGTAACAAAAACATTTTATATACATCAGTACTAATCTGAATTAACAGCTTTCATAGCAAGACTTTTATCATTTTAAGCTAATATGGAGAGGTAAAAGATGTGGCATTGAGATTTTTAGAATGACACTCAAGAGGTTTGGTTTCCTTCAAAATTGCCTACATTTTGATGAAAAAAAGGCCTGCCAAGAAAGAAAAAAGAATCCAACAATTTGACTATTTTTTGAAAGCTTTATTTTGAACTATGAAGTATTTTATATACTGTCTGAGGATATGACAGTTGAACAATCGGTATCATTTCATGGCAGTTGAAAATTCTGGCAATATATGCCTCCCAAACACAGTATAAAAAGGTATGTCCTGCTAGATTGCTAAGACATTTTACATCTTGAATTAAGAAATGTGTTCTGGAACTCAGCCACCAGGTCTTTATGCATGCAACGAATGATATTAGGAATAGACTTGTTAACATCTATTGCACAGGAACTATCCTCAACAACAAAGCAGATTCCTAGAAAAAAAAAAAGTCTCAAATTCACAATAGAGAAATGTATATAGTACAATCTTTGGATTCAGAAAGACATAACATTGGCCTCCTATATGGTGAAGAAAAATAGTACTGATACTATTAATGTTGCACTCTAAGATTGACAGAGAGGGTAGGCATGGTGGTGAATGTAATCCTAGCACTTGGCAGGCTGAAGCAGGAGGAGCCTATTATTTCAAGGTCAGCCTATGCTATACAGTAAGTTTAAATACAGTATGAGCTATGCAGCAAGACCCTGTCTCAAAAACAAATAAAACACGATTCTCAGATGAAAAATACATATTAGTAAATAAATATATGCAAAAATGTTCAACATCATTAGTCATTCAAGAAGTGCAAATTAAAATAACACTGAGATTCTTTCTTACTCCAGAAAGAATGGCTATCATCAAGAAACAAATGCCGGTGAAGCCATGGGGAGAAAGGAACCCTTCGCCACTGCTTGTGGGAATGCAGACTGGTACCACCACCGTGGAGATTCCTCAAGACACTAGGACCAGAGGTCCCACTGCACCCAGCTAGTCCCCTTCTGGATATTTTCCCAGAAGAATTAAAAACATCATACCACAGCGATACATGCACACCCATGTTCCCAAAGCACAATTTATAATAACCAAATCTTGGAAACAACCAAGTACCCATCAGTTGAGGAATGGATAAAACACATGTGGTATTTTTATACTGTGGAATAAAACTCAGCCATTTATTCTTTAGAACAATAAACTCAAGGTTTTTTATAGGTAATTAGAAACCATACTAAGTGAAGTAAATCAGACTTATATGTGTAAACATCATACTGTCTCCCTAGTGTAAGAAATCAAAAAAATAATTAACATCCAAAATCTACAACAGATACTATGAAAGAGAAAGAAACTGCCCAAAGGGAATTAACAACTGCGGTAAGTGAAAGAGTAAAAAAAAAGGGAGAAGACAATACACACACACACACACATACCAACTAAGATAATTATACTAGCAATTTATTTTAGTTCACTGAAGAGAACAGTTTGCACTTGTATTGCTTGATCAGTTTTGCATGCCTTTATCTTATAATCTGACCATTTACCTTGAAGATGACAATATGCAATATATTAACTTGTTAATTTCCTATTATGTTATAAAATTCTGTATTTTTCTTTTCTCTTTAAAATAAAAAAATCATAAAAAACAAACAGATAAAAAAACTTAATAGTGAATCTTCAAGCGAAGCAAGAAATGATCACATTTTACAAAAAAAGAAAGGCAGAGTAGATGTTATTGATGAGTTAAGCAGCAACTATGATATCACTTGAAGCACACAGCATTGGCCAATGGTTGTATTTTACTTGATTCTAAATGTATCAGGCATATTTTATAGTTTACAAAACAAATAATGAGCACAAAATATCACAGAGAAATTTTCTTAGAGGATCGGAACTAGAATTGATAAATGATCTATTACAACAAAGGAAGAGAAATACATATATGCCCAAAGAACTCTGCAAAAGGTTTCTGTAACAGACCAGTGAACAACAGGTAAAACATCACAAGAACCTCCTAAGAAAACAGAAAGAATAGTAAAATGTTGAGTATGTTCTATCAAAAAAGAAAACATATGCTATCAATGTAAGTGATACTTGTATATGGAACATGCTGTTATCATGTAAAAACTGCCTTAGCTGTGATAATTGAAGTAAAGATTAGTTTTGTGGTAGAGAAAATTTATTTCTATTTTTTAAATTTAGTAACCAAGCAAAAAATTGATATAGAAAATGTTCATTCTAAACATTTAGTATATTTATTTTACTGGTTTTAATTTCCTAAGTGCACACTGTATAATATAGTGTAATAGCAAGCTCCTGACAAAAGAGGAAGACAAGAAAGGTGACAAGTACAGCTTGCCAAACAGGAAAGACAAGCTAAGTTCCTGCGCTGTCAGTGTAGGAAATTTAGGTGTGATAACTGAAACAAAGATTATTTCTGTGGTAAAGTTTTGATTGTATTTTCACTGTAGTTCACATAGGAACTACAGTGAAAATACATTTTTTAGAACTTGTAAGCAGTAAGTAGTTGACACTGAAAATGCTGATATTTATTCTAAACACTAGTTATATATTAAAAATTTAATATTTTATTGATATTTTACTTTCTTTTTAAGTACATATTATTTAATATAATAAAAACTCATAAAATGATAGAAACACTC